GTTTAAAAACAGTGTGTACAGCCCTGGCTGGTTTGTCTCAGTGGTTAGAGCATTGGCCTGTGGACCAGAGAGGCCTGGGTTTGGTTCCTGCTAAGGACATATACCTTGGTTGCAGTTTGTCCTCGGCCCTGGTTGGGGTCATGTGGGTGGCAACCACTCAATGTTTCTCTCTCTCCCTCCAGCTCTATCTTAAGATAAATGCAAAAATGTCCTCGGGTGAGGATAAAAATAAATAAATAAATAAATAAAAACATTGTGTACAGAGGAAAAAATACGAAAAGAATGAGATTTTTTTTTCTAAAGCACAATACCATTTTAGGAAATTAAACACACACATAGCATATTTTTCAAGGACATCCAAATATCTAAATAAGCTTCTAGAAGGTGGATTGCCAGGAATATTTTTTTTTTTTTCAGACAGAGTGGGAGGGATAGAGAGGAAGAGAGAGAGAGAAACATCGATGTGAAAGGGACACATCGAGTGGCTGCCACCCGCACGACCAACCAGGGCCGGGGACAAACTGCAACTGAGGTACGTGCCCTTAGCGGGAACCGAATCCGGGTCTCTCTGGACCGCAGGCCGCCGCTCTAACCACTGAGCAACCGGCCAGGGCACCAGGAATGATATTAAGTGGGGTGAGGGGTGAGAACTGATGAAGGGTGTGTGTGACTGCCACAGGGCAGAGATTGGCCAATGATGGCTCAAGGGCAGTTTTTACATTTTTAAATGGTTGGAAAAACAATTAAAAGGATTCCATTTGGGACACATGGAAATTATATAAAATTGACATTTCAGTGTCAACACATGAAGTTTTCTTGGCACACAGCCACGCTCATTTATTAATACCTATATTGTTTACGACTGCTTTCATGCAACAATGACAGAATTGAGGCACTAAATCCATCGAAATATATACATTAAAATTACACATTTTTTGCACAGCCAGAGAGTCTCAGTCAGTATAGTGTCATCCTGTGCACTGAGGGGTTGCTGGTTCAATTCCTGGTCAGAGCACATAAAATAGATCTTAAGAAAGATGGAAAAAAAAAAAAAGAACTAAATAGAACTGTGTCATTGCAACAGAGATCATATGGCCCACAAAGCTGAAAATATTTACTGACTCTCATCATTGAGGGTGAACATGAAGGTGAAAAAAAAGAGTAGAAGAAATTTCATTAACTCAGGTTTGGGCCTCTTAAGTCCAAAAGAAATTGTTATAAATGTGAATTACTCAGCCACCCAGTGCTGGAAAGGAGTGAATCCAAGAAGGTATAAAGAAAGCATTTTGGTAACAGACATCAAGGTCTTCAAAAATACCCTTTCAGAAACCTGTGCTGAAATGTAAAAACAGATCAGAGGATATGCAGGGTTCCTGAGGAAGAATGCCTGTGTGGCACCCTTGAGAGTAAACAACGATGTGGCTGTTCAAAAATAAACAGCACATCCCAAGAATTCTTAACATGAGAAAATGTCCCTGGGATAATGTTAAATCAAAGAAATCAATTATAAATCCTGGCTTTGAGAACTGTGGGCAAATCCCTCTACTCGCCTGTGCCTCAATTTCCTCATCTGTAACATGGGAATTAAAAACACTTCACTTTGCCCTGGCCGGTTTGGCTCAGCGGTTAGAGCATCGGCCCGCGGACCAGAGAGTCTCAGGTTTAGTTCCTGCTAAGGGCATGTATCTCGGTTGCAGTTTGTACCCGGCCTGGTTGGGTTGTGCGGGCAGCAGCCACTCGATGTGTCCCTTTCACATCGATGTTTCTCTCTCTCTCTCTTCCTCTCTCTCCCTCCCACTCTATCTGAACAAAAAATGAAAAAATGTCCTTGGGTGAGGATAAAAAAAAAAAAAAAAGCAAAAGTGTCCTCCGGTGAGAATAAAAAATAAAATAAAAACACTCTACCATATAGAGGTGCTGGGGATTTAAATGAGTTAAAATATGAAAAGGGAGTCAAATAATACTTTGGTCTATAGTAAAGGCTGGTTAAATACTTTTAAAAGTAAAATAAAGAGAAATGACAAATTCCACCAGCTCCATGTTGCCAGACTTGAAAAAGACATTATTTTCTGTGTTAAAAAATTCGGAAGGAAAGAAGCAGAAGTGTTGACAGCAGCTGCATTTGGGCGGTGGTAGGTTTATGGAGGTTTTATTTTGCGTTCTAGACTTTTCTGTACTTCCCAAAGCTTCCACAAAGAATATGACTTGTAAGAGCAGAGGCAATTTTAAAGTCTTGGAGACCCAGGGAAGTATGTGCCTGGCTGCCTCTTCTTCCACTGATCTCTCTGTGGTATCTGACAGGTCGGAAGACAAGACTTTGCGTTCTCCAGGCCTCTAGTAACCCTACCTACCTTTTCCAGCCCGAGGGGAAGACTGCCACTCACACTACCTGCCCTTCAACTGCAGTGAGCAAATTCTACAGGGCAGAGAGGTTGGGCTCCTCCTTGCCTCTTCCTCCAGGGAGCCCACCCTGACCTACACATCTAGCTGACTCTCACCTAAGCAAATACATGGTCCAAACACTTGTCAAGTCCTCTTAGTATCGTATCTCATTTTATTTCCTATATTGCCCCACCCCCTGCAATCTACAAACCCTACAGGACCCACTGCTGATGCTCACGCTCTCCATGACCTTGCTTCTCTGGCCTCATCCTATTCCAGTTTGTTTAACACCTTGGATGCACCCATGCCTCTCCTACCCTTAGGGCCTTTCCCCCTGCTGTACCCTCCCTCCCAGAACACTCTTCTTCCCACTTCTTTGCCACCTGGCTGCTTCTTTCCTTTCACATCTTGGTTCAGAGCCAACAGCTAATCCTTGAGTACCCACTGTGTGTCTGGTGCCACACTGAACACTTAAAATGAACTGATGCATTTAAGGCTTACATTAATCTGGTGACTTTAGACTGTCAGAAACCCCAATTTGCAAATGAGACAGAGAGGTCAAACAAATTGCTTAAGGGCACAGAGGTGAGGAGTAGGAAAACCCAGGCCACCACCCCATTGAACATGTATCTGCTTCAAACACGTATTCTCTGAAATGACTTTTCTTCACTTATTTATTGCAGTCTCCTATTTGTTTATTGCAGAGACTTTTGTCTATCTTGTGTACTGCTGTGTCCCCAGTGCCTAGAAGAGTTTGGTACATAAAAGGCACTCTAAACATTTGCTGAATGAGCAGACATTGAAATGAATTAGCATACTGGGGTGGCTGCAGCAAGGAGTTAAGTGAAACACTAGGAAGAACTGTTAGGGGGCAGCTTGCTTAGAGTGGGGACATCGCTACGTCTGTATACCGCAGGCAGGAGGCCCCGTGGCTGCCCTAGGAGGCATGTCTGGAATGGAAGTTGCCTCTCAGAGATCCCAAGGCTGGGCCAGGCAGGGCCCCTGGCTGGAGGCCAGAGACTCAGGGCTGGGTGTTTGGAATAGATACAGAACAGAGGGGTGGTGCCCAGAGCTGGCCAGGAACAACATGGAAAAGCAAGAAAACACAGCTGGGTCCCCACCCTCCAGCTGTGCCCTCGGGTCCCACCACGAGGCTCTAGGCACCTTAGACATGAGGCTGGGATAGGTTCAGGCCAATTTTGGTTTAAATCCTAGTTCAGCTACTCCCTGGCTGTGTGACACAAGGCAAGTGCAGCTTCTCCCCAAGCCTGAGTTTTCCCAACTATAAACAGTTGACCTGAAAATCATCAGCAGACGCAGAAACAAGCACCGACTGAGTACTTACTGTGTGTGCTAATTCACTAGCATCCTAGCAGTGGGGACCATTATTATGCCACTTCACAGATAAGAAAGCCAAGGCACAGATGGAAGTTGCTCACTCAAGGGCACACAGAAAGAAGTAGAATTTCAACCCAGGTTGCCTGGCTGCACGGCTCCGTCTTTAGCTCCTCTATGGGTGAAACACTTAGCACAGCACCCAGCATCGCACTGGTGTCTGACAAAGAACATGTTACTGCCCTGGCCAGTTTGGCTCAGCAGTTAGAGTGTCGGCCTGCAGTCCAGAGACCTGGGTTCGGTTCCCGCTAAGGGCACGCACCTCAGTTTGTCCCCGGCCCTGGTTGGGGTTGTGCGGGAGGCAGCTACTCAATGTGTCCCTTTCACGTCGATGTTTCTCTCTCTCTCTCTCCCTCCCACTCTATCTGAACAAAAAATGAAAAAAAATGTTCTCGGGTGAGGAGGGGAAAAAAAAAAAAAAGAACATATGTTATTACTATGAATCATTCTGGCAGCTTCTCCCAGGGGCCTCAGGGCAGCAGTGGTGGGCAGCTGCCATTCTGCACATCCCATATCCCCTTTATTGTCATGAGGGCTCAGCACTTCCTTCAGGGAGCACCCCTCAGGACTTGGCCACAGGTCTTGGGTGGGGTTCCTCCATCCCCAGGGGCTAGACAGTGAGGGGCAGTAATTAGCTTAGTGTTGGGCATGTGACCCAAGTGAGCCAATGAGTGCCATTTCTGGGATTTTTGTTGGCAGTATTTGGACTGAGGGGCTCCCTTTCCATTGAGCAGCAAGCATAGAGGCCCAGAGCAGTGGGGCCACCTTTGCTGGCCCAAAAGAGAAGCCTCCAGGGTGCACAGAGAAGAGAGACTTAGAGATTCCAGAGCACCAGGATCCAGCTATGCCTGATGCTATCACTTAATTACACAAACAACACATTTCCTTTTCATTGCTTAAACTGGTCTGAGATTGGTTCCTCCCACTTACTGAATAAGCAGGGATTTTGTTCAGCAAACCAACAGTCTTGGGGACCCTCCCCACCAAATACTTAGTGTTTTTTGGACACTTATAATGTGCTCATACATTTAACAGACACCCAATTTTTCAGCATAATCACTACAGCACTGAGTAGGTGGCACAATTTTGTCCCCTTTTTGCAAATGAAAAGACAGAGGCTCTGAGATGGGGAGCAATCTGGTCGAAGGCCAAGGCTGGGGCTGGACCCTGCTGTTCAGATGAAGAGGGACCCTCCACTGTCCTCCCCTGCCCATATGTCTCACCTGCTGTCCCACTGCAGTTCTGCTCCGTGATGCTGATCTTCTTCACCAAGTGGACGATGCCAGTGTTTGCAGCAGGCGAGGGGAACACTGCCTCCACCACTTCATGGCTTCGGAACACAAGGGGGCTCTCGGTTCCTCCAGATGTCGCTAGGGCCCGCAGCCCTGCCCCATAGGGCTCCAAGCTCTGGGCCCGCTGTGCAGGGGCCCCAGCAGCTGTGCTGGCTGCCACCTCCACCTCCCGAGGTCCCTCTACCACCCGGACAGTGTCCACACGAACTGGGCTGTCCGGCGGTGGCCACGCCTGGGGTTGGGGGTCGGGATGGGAGCCAGCCTGTCGGGCCTGAGATGCCTGCAACTCCTGGAGAGCTTTCTTGAGCTGGGTCTCCAGCACTGCGACCTTGGCGGCAAGGGCCACCTCCCCATCGGGGACACCCAAGTCCCGCTCACGGACCCAGGTGCCCACGCTCCGGGTCTCCAGTGTTACTGGGTCCTCAGGAGCCTCTGGGAGGTCAAGGCAGAGCTCGCTGCGGCCCCGGGCCCCTGAAGGGTGGCCCAGAAATTTCTGGCTCTTGAGCTGCACTGTGAGCTGCCGCTTCTCCTCCTGCAGCACTGACAGCTTCACCTGGAGCACAGGGATCAGCTTCACCTGCTCCTCCAGCTGCCGCAGCTTCCGCAGGGCACCCGCCATCTGCTCCCGAACGTGGGCCAGGTGCCCAGCACTAGGCGGCACTGGTGTGGACATTCCCGAGCCCCGTGGTGTCTGGGGTGGTAGCCCCACGCCCACGAGTGAACTAGTGGAGCTGGCTGCGCTGGGGGTCAGGGAGCCCAGGCCTGTGGGCACAGCAGTCTGGTCCTCGAGGCGGCGCCTGGCATCCAGCAGGGTACGCTCCACACGAGGATTGAAGCCACTGCGGGCCTCCAGAGCCCCGTACTGTGGGTAGAAGCCACGGCCACAGTAGGAGTAGGCAGAGTGGCGGCTGTCCCCACTGGCATTGGAGCACAGTGACTCGGTGGAGGTCCACCAGGAGCCAGGGCCACGGGGCAGCGAGCCGAGGCGAGGCCGGCGCTGCACAGCCACGCGTCGCAGTGTGTGGCCCTTCTCAATGTCATCCACATACTTGAGAAAGTCCAGGTCCAGGCGGTAGCCATAGGGTGTCTCCACAGAGTAGGGAGGGTCAGTCTCCTTGCCAGGGAAGGCAGGCGGGGAGGCTGGGCCAGGGGTCCCTAGGGCAGGAGAAACACTAGTACTTCCGCACACTGCTGTCCTCTGGGAGGAAGACTGATGCCCCCCCAGGAGAGTCAAGATTTATTTACCCAAGGGATGGGAACCTACTGGGCCCTCAACTGCTCAACTGTTTCCAGTTTCAGACCCCTCCAACCACCCCCCAACCCCCAAACACACACACATAGGATAGGGTCCTGTCTCCTTCTCAGATCCTCCAGGAGGAGCCAAATTGTCTCCATTCAGGCCCTCAGGGCAGGGCTGTGTTCCACCCTCAACCCCCCTCTTCCCTTCCCCCTCCCCCATCCCAGGTAGGGCCATATCTCTCCCCTAACCCCAGACCTCTCTCCCCTCCTTCAGGCCTCCAGGACAGGCCCATCTCCCCACCCCCCTCCACACCAACCCCAAGGGCCCTCTTCCTCTCCAGAAGTCTGACCTGGAAAGGGGGCTGGCACGTGCAGGACTTGGGCCATCCTCCCCTCTGTAGATGTTCCTCAAGAGTCACTGGGAAACCCTGAGTCAAACTGCCTTCAGCACGGGCTGAGGCTGACCTGGGGAGAGGGGGCAATGGAGACAGGAGTCAGGAAGGGTCTGCAGGGGAAGGGGAGGGGATGTGGCCACCGCCTTTCACAGCTATCCTCCCCAACACCCCTGTTCCCCAAGTAAGGACCCTCTCATAGGTGCACACCCAGCCAAGCTGTGGAAAGCGGTGGGATGGGGGCCCTGGGGCTTAGAACAAAGAAACCAAACCTCATAGCCTGCCTGCACATCTGTCCAGCCCCTGGACAGTCTCCAGCTGTTCCTATAGTCCCGCCTCCACAAGGCCCCCAGGCCAGGAGCCCCAAGCCCTTCAGGCCCCACCCTTCCTGGACCCCCTTTCCTCAGCCCAGGCCAGGAGCTGGTTAGGGAGACAGATGGGGGCTGAGGTGGGCAGGGGTCTGGGATGCTACCAAGGGAACAGCTATCCTACAGGGATCTGAGGAGACAGAGACAAAAAGAGAGCTACAGATCAGGGTAGGAGACCCCAAAACACAGCTGGGTCAGGGCAGCTGAGGTAGAGGGGATAGGAAAAATTGTGGGGAGGCACCGAGGAGCAAAGCCTTTCCCCTTTATGGAAACAATTTTCTCTAAAAATAAACAGTTTTGCTGCCGGGCTACACGAGAACTTCCTGCCCACCCCCAGGACACGTCCGGCTGGGGAGAGGGGTGCCCAGCAGCCAGGGCGGTGGCCCGGGAAGTCATGGGGGTGCGAGTAGGAAGTAAGAGGGGGTGCCTGGAGGCTGCAAAGGGGAGGTACAATCAAGGCCTCTCACTAACTCAACCCCCCAATCCTGGAGTCCCACCAGTGTCCTTTTGTCCCAAACACTCTGCCTAAGCTTAGCCAGTCCTTTCTGCTGTCTGATCTCCAGCTTTCCTGTTGCAGAGGCCCAGGCTCATCCGGCCACTAGGGAGGACCCTTTCTGGCCTGTGGGTGCCAGAGCAGTGTGTACCTGGGAGGATGGGCCAGATGGGGCACCTGCTGGGCATGAAGGCACGGTTGGAGCTCCAGGGGCTGTCAAGCTGCTCCGTTGTCTCTCACACACTGCGCGTCTCTTGCTTCGCGTCTTGCTTTATCTCTCTCCACGTCTCTCTCTCTCTGTGTCTTTCTCTACTTCTCTCTCCTTGTCTCTCCGCTTCTCTATCCACACTTCTCTGTCTTGCAATGCCTGGAACACACTGTCACCAAATGTAGGAAATTTGGTTTTCCACCTGCCTGGAGGCTTACCCCCTGAACAACAGGATTAAGAATAATTTCTGGTCCTGGCCAGTTTGACTCAGGGTTAGAGCATTGGCCCAGAGACTGAGGAGTCTCGGGTTTGATTCCCGGTCAAGGGTCCCTGGCTGCAGTTGTGATTGTGCGGGAGGCAGCCAATCGATGTGTCTTTCTCACATGGATGTTTCTCTCACTCTCCCTCCTTTCCACTCTGTCTAAAAATCAATGGAAAATACCCTAGCTGGGGGTGGGGATTAACAACAACAAAAAATTTCTGGGGACCCGAGAGACTGAAGGCAGGGAGCAGGACTGGAATAGCTTGTGGAGGTCCCTGGACAGGAATGGGGTGAATAATAGTAATAACTACAATAATGATCTGGGTACCAGATGGGAAATTTTGGGGCACAGAAATGTGCAGTGACTTGCCCAGGGTCACTGGACCGGTAAGTGGCTGATCCTGAATTTGAACCTAAGCCTGGCGGATTCCCCCACTGCAGGCCAAGATACCCTCATCCCCACTCCACAACCCTCTACCCATTTCCCAGACAGAGACTGACGTCTATGGGTCTCCAGCCGGATATCCGATCCTCCTCAGTGAGGACAGGTGACTCCAGGTGGAGAAAGCAGATTAGAGAGGGGATGTCTGGGGCTGAGGCCCCTCTCCCTTTATGAGACCCCAGGGGGACACAAGGTAGAGACAGAAAGGAAAATACGACACTTCAAGAGCAGACAAAGTAGGGGGCTCAAAGTCCGGGTGGGCCTGAATGTCCGACGGAGTCTTCCTAAAGCCCCCCTTGAAGACAGGCCTGGATGTCTCTGGGGTCTTCCCTCCCCTCTCCTCATCCCAACGAAGGGGGTGAGGGGGACCCCACCCGCGCAGGGAGAGGCGGGGCCTGCGGGGTCCCCAGCTAATGGCAAACAGCTGCCGCTCCCCACGCCGGCCCAACCGCCAAGCCAAGGCCCAGCCCAGCTGGACGCCCGGTCGCCTTCCCGCCGCCTGGGGCCTGGCTCCGGCCCGGCGTGGAGGGCGAAGGGGGACAGGGCGGGGGAAAGAGGTAGAGGGGGGCGGAGATGGGGGAGAGGGGCAAGGGGAGGCAGTCATGGGGCGGAGGGGTAGGGCGAGAGGTACAGATGGAAGAGGACGGGGTCAGGGGAGAGAAGCAGGGACGCGGGTCAAGATGAGAGCGGGGCAGAGACGGGGGACCGAGGCACTCAAAAGTCCGTCAAGTTTGGGCTGAGATGGTGGAGTTGGAGGCAGCAGCTGGTCGAGACTTGCGAGGTCACGCCCCGGAGCTGGGGGTTGTGTGGGGACCACGCTCAAACCCTGACTCGGACTCGAACCCCGATCCAACCCCCGGTCCTACTCGCCTCCGCGCTCCGGCCGCCGCCGTCCCTGCGTCCTGCCGCCCGTGCGTCCGCCGCGCGCCGCCGCCCGGCCTCCGGGCCCTCAGCGGTAGCTCCAACCCGCCCCCTTCGGCAGGCCCCGCCCCTTCGATAGGCCCCGCCCCCGCCCCGTCGCCTGCGGGCAGGGCAGCGGTGGGGAGAAGCCGCCGGGAGGACACGATCACACCTGGACGGCAGGTATGTGCGTGCGCGTAGGGGTGCCTGGCCTTGTCCCCGGGCCTCCCTTCCCCGAGTTCCCGGGTCAGGGGTCCCCTCCGCTGTGCTGCCCCGCCTGCTGCAGCTGGGCCGCTGCGGGGGGCGGGAGGGGGCGGGACTGGCCAGGCCCCAGCTTCGCGAGGGCGCAGAGGCAGGCGCTGTGGCGGCGGGAGACACCCCTCCCCCAGCGGGCCCAGGGCTGGAAGCCGCCCAGAACAGGCCTGGTACGCGGTGGCGTGACCGCCTCGGGGCGGGGAGGGGGCTGGGTCAGTTCGAGGCAGCACGGGCCTTGGCTAAGGCCCGGGCTGCCTGGCCAGCCAGACCTGGACTCCAGTCCCAGCCCACCATGCCTTTAAGTGCTCGGTGCCTCAGTTTCCCCATCTCTAAGATGGGGTTAAGAGTGTGTGTGCCTGATAGTGGTGCTGAGAAGATACACTAACCACAAGGCAGGGGCCTATTGGAGTTCCCTGGGGCAAAAAGACCCATAAATGGGGCAGTGTCTTTCTGGGAGCCTTTTAGTACAGGGCTGGGCAATCAGCAAGGGTTTAATAAATGTCCCTTTAAAAAAAATAAATGTTACTATTATTCCCCATGTACATATGTGACATTTTAATTTGTGTATTGCCTTTCCACCAGGATGTCAGCCCCACAAGGGCAGGCATTTGCATCTGTTGTCACTGTTTTGCCCCTGGCACCCAATAGGGTCTCAGTGGCTGTCAAAGATCAGGGTGTGTGGATAGACTGTGAATACATGACCCAGCCCCCAGGGACTACACCACACAGGCTGCTCATAAAAAACATTTTAAGTTAAAAAAGGGAAGAAGTATCAGTGCACAGACAAGAATAGAAGGTCCAGCACCACATGCCATGTGGTCCCCCAAGTGGGCAGTGGGACAGACTCCCAGAAAGGCACATAGCTGAGGCCAGGGTACTGGTTTCTCTGGGTGTGGTTTCGGGCCCTGTGAGCTCAGAGGTCGGCCTTCCGGAAACTTGTTCTGTTCAAGGAGTTCCTGGAGGAGGAATGAGGTGGGTCAACATGGACACAAGGCCCCCAACTTCATAGTACTCCCAGCCCTCTCCCTCCTCTTCCTCCAGAGCTGCTTCTAGCCTTCCCTGCTCCTTTTATATCTGTTCTTATCCGGCTAAGGATTCACAGATTCTCTCCTGGAATCTACCACCAGAGAATCATAACACACTCATTTTACAAATGTAGAAACCAAGGCTCATGTCTGGGAATGATGAAGTCACATGTCTGGGAACTGACCCACCAGGACCCAAAATGACTGCCCAGAGCGTGCATTTGTGCACACATCCAAGCAGTCACATCGTTGTGTGCAAAGCCAAGGTCATGTGTTGATGCGTCTGCCTCCTCTTGCCCTCTCTAGGATGGGGGGGGAGCAGGTTCAGGCACCTGAGGCTGGCTGTGGTTGGCACCAGTAGCTGGGGCAGGCGCTGGGTGAGCAAGGGCTGCAGAGCCTCCCGTAGGCGGGTGTAGTTGCGCTCCAGCTCACGGTGGTACTCCTTCTGGTCGGGCCCAATCAGGGCCTTGTTTTTCCGAAGCGCATCCTCGCACCTGAGGGCCAGACGGCAGGGTGCTCAGGGACTGGCACTCAGGAAAGCAAGCAAGACCAGAGGTGGAGGAGTCCATGAGGTGGGGTCAGGAGCTAGAATGGGGGGGTAAAGTAGGCAGAGAGCCATGATGAGGGTTGGAGGGGTTCAAATGGGTAAGGTCAGGCCTACTTCTTGCAGAAGTCCTTGAAACAGAGCCGTAGCTTGTTGTGATGCCTGAAGAGCTTGGGGTCTTCTGGGATCTCTGCCAAAAACACCTGGGCCACCTCTAGGGGACCCTGTGGGGTAAGAGGGCCTTGTGAGGATATCTGTATGGACCCTGGGGGGACCTCAGGCAGCCTGCATCCCCCACCGGCCATGCCTGGTTCACAGTGGGCCCCACAGAGCCCTGTAGCACCATCTGCAGCATCTTGGCATCAGGTGGGTCCTGCTCAGTGGCAAAGGCCAGCTCCCGTGTCTTCTTCTGCATGTCCTCGATGGCCACCTCCACTGGCGTCAACACTGTCTGCAGGATCAAAGAGCAGCATGCACTGGCTGGGGCCTGAAGATATCCTGACCCAGGCCAGCCCAGGACAGCTGGGTGTGGGAGGGGGTCTGAATGGCTGTGTAAAGAACAGTGTGTGGGGCTGTGGCCAGTTTGGCTCAGCGGTTGAGCATCGGCCTGCGGACCAGAGAGTCCTGGGTTCGGGTTCGGTTCCTGCTAGGGGTACGTACCAGGAAAGAAAAAAAAAAGAACAACAGTGTGTGGGGACTCCTGCCTGCCTGGGTCTGCCAGGGTCTGGCTCTGCCTTTGTCTAGCTCTGAGACCACTGATCTGGTTGTGGTCCAGCCTTGAATCATCTGGGCCTGGAGGTAGAGATCTGAGACCCCAGACTGGGGTCTGGAGATTGGAGTTCAGACTTCCTTCACCTCCCCCAACCCAGGTTTGGGGCCCCCATCTACCTCCTCCCGGTGGCAAACACGGATGCGTGTCTTGATATAGGGGAAGGCATGGTCTGTGCTCAGGAGTGTCTTGCGCTTGTGTTGTTCATGCAGCTCCCCATGAGCACGCCCATCGGGCGTGAAGGGTGTGCAGAACAAGAAGGTGCGCAGCCCGTAGTTGCGGTCAAAGTAGGTCACCCGGTCCTTGAGCTCATAGGTGTCAAAGTGAGGTTCCACATATGTGATCTGGATGTAGGCCTGCAGCATGGGGCACAGGTATGAGGTTCCCACTGCCCCAACCTACACCCCCAGGGCTTGCCAGCCTCCCAACAGGGCGGCTGGAGAAAAGGGATTTGGGCCTCCATGGGTCTGAGGGTTTTGCACCTGGGATTCCCAGGTCTCCTTATGTTTGAGAACTACCTGAGGTTAAGGATTTGGGGTCCCTAAGGGAGATAGCTTTGGAGTTTCCCAGAGAAAAAGGATTTGAGAGTTTCCAGGAAGTAGTACTTAGAGTCACCCTGACTATAGGACTTTGGGGACCTCAGGGAGATGGTCGGGAGCCCTCACCTTTTGGGAATCAAGCTTGGTCTTGTCAACGGGGTTCGAATCTTTGATAATCTCAACCACGTCTTCCCCAAACCTCTCCGCGTAGAACTCCTGGAGACACGGGGCTGACTCAGGCTGCACAGGTACAGGCCCCACTCTACCCCAGAGTAGCCTTGTGCCCCCCACCCCCACCACCAGGACATGCCTCCAGCCGGTGTGAGATCTCAGCCAACTTTGTGATGGATGGCTCCTTGTACACAAACTCCTGCTCGTCCAGGTCACCAAAGCGGGTGCCGTAGAAACCCACGCGGAAGTACGTTCCAAAAACTCGCTGAGGCTGTGGGAAAGGGGTGTTGGTGCCCAGGAGGCCCCACTGGAAGTGCCCTGCCCCAGAGGTGCAAGTCTTCGGTCCCCACATGTGGAAGAAGTGGACAGAGGCAGGGGAACCCAGAGAACTTCGGGATGTGAGGACCCCAAGACATCATATCATGGGCTCAGGCAAGGGTACCATAAGACTGCCAACTGCCCACACCCTTGCTCTTTCTGCCTAGCTCTGTCTCTTACCTCCCCCAAATCTTTCTCTTCATTTAACACAAGCCCCTACTTTCTGCTTCTCCCTCTCACTCCAGGCAGTTCTTCAGAGCCTGGATCCCAGTATGAAATCAGGACTGGGGCTGTATTGCTCACAGCTGTGTCCTCAATGCCTACTGGGCTGGGTATGCAGCAAGTGCTCAATAAATGCTTGGGACAGAGGCTCTGCCTACTTTGTTCCAGGGCACCTTCTCCCCCACCTCAAGCCCTAAGTTTGGAAAGAGGGACTCCTGCCCCCCACCACCAGAAAGGAAGGGGTAGCTCCGTGTTCACTCACCAAGGCAGATCCGGAGGGGTGCGGTGGGCACCAGGAGATGGGCATGGGGAGCAGGGAATGAAGAGACAAAGTCATGGGGGAGGTCAGAGGTCAAAGCCCCCAAACCCCCAGAGTCCTGGTTATGCTGCCCTATGAGACCAGAGATGCAGGGAGGGAGGGGACCTGCCTGCCCCACCTAGGCCCCACCCAGCCCCCACCCAGCCTTCCTTGGCTCTGGGTTCTTGCCATCTTTGGCCAGAAAATTCTCCCCAAACTAGGAGATGCCTAAAAATAGATCCAAGTGGGGGAAAGGCGGGAGAGGGGGAGCATTAAATGGCAGTGAGAAGCAGAGATACTGTGGGAGTTTGGGGAGATAGGGAGACATACCAAGAGAGACAGAGAGGGAGTGATTAGGACAGGGAGAGAGACAGAGATGGAGAAATGGAGGGAAAGAAACCAAGAGACACATAGAGGCAGAGAGAAAAAGAAACAGATAGAGAGAGAGTCAGAGCGGCCCCCCACCCCCACCCCAAGCAGTGACTGAGCAGGCCCTGCCGGAGGGAGGGGTGTCTCTGGACAGCTCCCAGCTGGGTGAGTCACAGGCTGCCCTGGAGATCTGGAGCAGGGAGGGGGGATCTGGGGGAAAGTAGTGGGGGGTGTCATCATCCACGGAGTCCCAACTCCTGTGTCCAGGCAGACACGCTCCTCCAGCGCCCCCTGGTGGCTGTCCCTGACCACTGCTGACTAGCCGTCTTGGGGGCCCCAGAGGCAGATGGCCACCCGGTTGACTAACCTCCCAGCCAGAGCTCTGTGGGGAAGAGAAGGGTTAAGGTCAGTGGAGCCTGGAAAGGGGGGGCGGGGCCAAGGGCAGGGTCTGGGAGGGCATCTTGGGCACACCTGGTGCATAATTTTGGTGAAGGCCTCCTGCAGTTTGCCGTGCACAGCAGCCAGTTTCTTGTAGTCACGGTGGGCTTCCAGGATGGGGATCAACATCTTGTACACCTCATTCACTGCCTCATAGAGCCCACCCTGGGGGTGGGGTGGAGCAGGTCAGGATTCCCAGCACCCTCCCCGGTCCTCTCCTGCCTGAAACAGCCCT